CTCCGTTAAAAAGATTTCTCTCAGATTTTCTCTATCCATCAGAAAAAACTAACTTGATCGTCGAAGTGACGTCCCGGGAGATCACTCGGTCGTACTCTAACGGTTCACTTGTGATTTTGTTCTCAGGTAAGCACCCCAGATGGATCCTTCGTTCAGCATCCAAACCATCTGTGAACATGTCACAACATTTGGCGCCATCCGGACATATCCTCAGAATGATACAGCCAAAGGACGACGTCGGTTCTTTGTATAAAGGAGATATAAGCCCAACAGTATCTGGAATGGCAGTACAAGATCTGTTCGAAACACACGAACCATCCCAGGTGTTGATAACACAGATCCAATCATTCACGATAAGAACAGCAGAACCAGGCCTCCAGAGCAGTTTCCAGCAATGGTCATCGGATATCTCACAAAATCAGATGATGATATCAAACCCCAATCTATCTCAGACGAATTCATTTCACGGCACTAAGGTATTCACTATCTCTAACTCCCGTAAGAGAAACGCACCTCACCATGCATAAAGCGAGATTGAGGCCCTCTCGAGAAACCTACTCAACATCAGCTTCTCTAGCAACGATCCCAGACCATCAAATTGGGATCCACGAGACCCACTCCTTATATCAGGGTTCATTCGCAACACGAAAATCCACCAAATATACATTGACAATGGTAGTTGCTCTAATATACTTTATGAACATTGTTTCCGGCAGCTACCTGATACGTGGAAGGAAGGGCTACAACCCCCAACCGATGGACCATTAGTAGGATTCACCGGGCATAGCTTGTGGCCACTAGGTACCGTTCGACCGCCCTTAACGTTGGTCAGCCACGACGAAAGGGATCGAATCACAAGGAAATTCGAATTCTCTGTGATCCGATACCCAGCAGAACACAACATCCTGCTTGGGCGATCAACAATCGCGTTACTGCATCTCATGCCATCGACGATACATAGCATCATTAAATTCAGCACATGCCAGGGATCGGCGACGATCCTCGCCACAACCAGCAGAGCACAGCATTGCCACCAAATCATAGCCGCCCCGCAACTCGTGCAAGCGCCAAAAAATTCTAATGAGGGATGCTCCATCGAACAACACCAGATAAACATGGAGTATCCGGAACACCACGTGCGAATTGGCTCTCACTTAAAAGACGAGACTAATACACAGGTGGTGACACTTCTGAGGCAATACTACACTTTATTCGCCTGGAAGCCAACGGATCTGACAGCGTCGACCGACAAGTCATAGAACACAGTCTCAACATCGCACTTGGAAGTAACCCTGTGAAGCAAAACAAGCGAGGACAGGCGAAAGACCGCAATAAGGCTATTAACGCAGAGGTGGCTAACCTGGTGAGCGTTGCTATACCTAGGGAGATAATGTTCCCAACATGGATAGCAAACGCGGTCATGGTGAAGAAAGCCAATGGGGGCATGCCGAATGTGCATAGACTATTCAGATCTCAACAACGCCTGCCCAAAGGATTGCTACCCTCTTCGGAGATCGATCAGAAAGTCCAATTGCTTGAAGGCTTCTGATTCAAATGTTTTCTCGACGCATATAAGGGCTACCACCAGGTACAAATGAAGCGAGAAGATGAAGCAAAAACAACCTTCCATACCGAAAAGGGCACCTTCTGTTATCAGAAAATGCCATTTGGGCTCACAAATGCTGGCGCTACTTACCAGAGACTGATGGATAAGGTATTCGTCGACCAGATCGGTCAGAATATCGAAGTCTACGTCGATGATATGGTAATGAAAAGCTGCAATGAAAATATGTTACTCCAAGATGTAGAAGAAACCTTCAAAACGCTAGTCAAAGCGCAGATGAAGTTAAATCCGACTAAGTGCACTTTCGGAGTTAAGGACGGACAATTCCTTGGTTATCAAGTGTCCAGGGAAGGGATTCTACCCAATCCCACCAAAATACAAGAGTTCCTCGAGTCGAAAACTCCCTACAACCTTAAAGGAGTACAGGAGATCAACGGTAGGTTAACGACGCTTGGAAGATTCATTGCTAAATCCGCAGAAAAGGCGCTCCCTCTGTATCAAACACTCAAAGGATTCTTAGACAAAAAGCAATTCAAATGAACAACGGAAGCGGACGTGGCCTTGCAAAAATTAAAAGACGCACCGCAACAACTCCCGGATCTCGCATCTCCGCTCCCGGGGGAGACGCTACAGATGTACTTAGCATCGTCTGAGGAGGCTATCTCCTCTGTGTTAGCAGTGGAAAGGGAAGGCAAGAAAATCCCCATTCACTTCGTCAGTAGGGCCCTACAAGGGCCAAAAGGAAATTACCCGGCCTTGGAAAAACTGGTCCTCGCCCTGGTCTACGCAGTTAGACGTTTACGAAAGTATTTTCAAGCCCACACGGTGGAGGTCCTGACCAGTTACCCAATAAAACAAGTGCTGCTAAGACCGGAAAAGTCTGGACGCCTGGCCAAGTAGGCCATAGAGTTGGGCGAACACGACATCCAATACCACCCCAAAACTAGCATTAAATCCCAGACCCTTGCTGACTTCCTGGTTGAACTCCCAGATACCATCAAATGAGTACCAACGACAATATCTGTCGACCCACTCGAGTCTGAGGCCGACAAAGAACTTTGGAAGTTGTATACCGATGGTTCAGCAAGCAAATAAGGCTCAGGCGCAGGTCTGATCCTCCAAAGGCCCAAAGGTGTAAAAATCACCTACGCACTACGGTTCGACTTCCAAGTATCTAACAACGAAGCAGAGTACGAGGCACTCCTAGCTGGACTAAGGTTGGCTAAGGAGGTTGGTGCAAAACAACTAGCAGCTCTCAATGACTCATTGCTCGTCAGAAACCAAATCAACGGAGTATACGAGGCAAAGGACCCTAGGATGCAGAAGTACCTAGATACGGTCCGTAGTCTAGCCAACACGTTCAAAATCTTTTCAATAAAGCAAATATCTCGTGGGGAAATGCGCGGGCAGATGCCCTTAGCAAGTTGGCTTCTACGTCCTACGATCATCTCACAAAGAAAGTGTTGGTCGAAGTACTCCCGGAAAGGAGTATTGATAACCAGAAGGTCAATACCATATCAGCCCCTCCAGAATGGAAAAAACCATTCGTTGATTACCTGCGCCATGGCGTGCTTCTGGATGATCCACAGGAAGCCAGAAAAGTCTAAACCAAAGCACCGCATTTCGCCATAAGGGACAATTAGTTGTACCAGAGAGGATATCTAAGCCCGTGGCTCAGGTGCATCTCTAAGACGGAGGGGCAGGCGTTTCCTCGAAGAAAGCCATTCCGGGGACACGGCAACACATGAAGGCGCTCGCGCACTCACAGGCAGATACTCCGCCTTAGAGTATACTGGCCGAACGTGTATAACGATGTCGCAGCCTTAACCAAGAAATGCAAGGAATGCTAAGCATTCACATCCTTCCAAAATCAATCAGCCATGCCGTTGACAAGCATCACCAGCCCCTGGCTCTTCCACCAATGGGGGATTGACATAGTGGGACCATTTCCACCGGCGCCGGGAGGAGTAAAGTTTTTACTGGTGGCCGTGGACTATTTCACCAAGTAGATAGACGCGGAACCACTGGCCACTGTCACTGGAAAACAGATGATAAAGTTCATGACAAAGAACATCTTAGCTCGCTTTGGAACTCCTAGGATCCTCATAAGTGACAACGACACTCAGTTTGAAGGAAGTCCCTTCAAGGAATGGTGTGAGGAAAAGAAAATCCACCGCCGGTTCACTTCTGTAGCGCATCCTCAGGCCAACGGACAAACGGAGATATCCAACAAAACCATAGTAAATGGTTTAAAGAAACGGCTACTTAGATCAAAGTCCGCCTGGGTGGATGAGCTCCCGACAGTGTTATGGTCTTATCGCACCACAGCAAGGTCTAGCACGGCAGAAACTCCCTTCCGTATAACCTGTGGGACGGAAGCGGTCCTCCCATTGGAAATAATTGTTGGCTCCTTGCGAACGGAAAGTTTTGAGGAGGCAGCCAACGAGGAAGGGCGGCGCCAAGACCTAGATATGCTCGATGAGAAACACGAAGCAGCACAGATGCGCCAAGCACTGTATAAGTCACGAACTGAGAGCTATTACAACCGCCAAGTTCGGGCCAAGAACTTTAAAGTTGGAGAATGGGTAATAAGGAAAATGAGTCTAGCCATGCTGAACCATTGGGAAAACTCAGTGTCACGTGGGAAGGGCCATATAAAGTCGTAGAAGCACATAAAAATGGTGCCTATGTCTTAGAAGCTCAAGACGGGCGTGCCATTCCAAGAACGTGAAACGCGCAGAGCCTACGCCACTTTTACTCTTAAAACGGGTGTTATAGGTAGCACCCAGTGCTACCTAGCTCCCAAGTCGCTCTTATCGGCCTCCAACTTTGCCACTTGGGCCTTCAACTCTTCACATTCAGTGTCCCTCTTATCCAAATCGGACTGAAGGGCCTCCATCTCGAAAATGCGCTCGGCGACTGCGACCAAATAAGACAACTCTTGGGGGCAGCAGCGTAACGCAAGCCATTGGCCATATGCTCGTCGAAAGAACACTTAGGGCCTCAGTCGTGGCAGGAGGAAATGCGCGCTGACACCATTCGAGAGCGACGTCATGATCAGAGACAAGATGTTGGGCAGTTAGCCCCCAAGCTGGCTTATAAGTATCAGGATGAGAGCCCATCAGTAGGGGTGGTTGTGGCTTTACCATAAGAGGTGGTGGCCTGATCGTGAGGAGGCGAAGACCAAGTCTTTTTCTCAGCTCCTTCGATTGTGGAAACGGGGCTGGTTTTCTCGGTGCTTCCTTCTCCAGTAGGACAGGGCGGTTCAGTCGCCCCGGTTTGTGCCCCCTCCAGCAGTTTCGGAGGACTTTCATCGGTGGCACGGTTGGAATCTTTTAGAACCCCCCAGTAAGAGACTCAAGTTACGCTTCTTACGTAGAGGCGGCCTGGTGGAAGAGCCTCCACTAGGTCAACGTCGCGAACCTGAAGCGTGCCGTCAAACAAACCCCGGAGAGCTTTCTCCAAAGAAACAATCTCCTCCACACCTGGTAAAAACAAGAAATAATGCTAGTTTAGCCACAGCACTCATCCCGCCGGCAGCCAAGAAACAGTCAAGCCAATCTTCACCGACGATGCTGATCTTCTCTAGGGCATCAACCAGTTCCTTGTCAACGCCAAACAACACGGGGGCATGGTCGACGTATACCTTGGTCCTCAGGTAACTAAGTACCACGAGATTGTTGTTCACCCATAAGAATTTCTCTTGCCAGTTCCTCTTTGATTTCTTTACTTGGATAAGAACAGGGACTCCTCGACGGCGGGAAAGAGTTCTGTAGGGTTTCAAAGCACTCCATGGATGATGGCAATGGGCCCCTTGATGAAGTGTAGGTTAAAAGCCCAAGACTTGTCTTTTCCCTATAAATAGTCATGTATTATTCATTATTAGGTTTAAGAGTAAGGCAAAATGTAGCCGCCACGTGAGGTTTCTTATGTAGTGTTAGATTCTTTAGTCTATGCTGAAAGTGTAATTTATTCCTCATGTTTTGAATAAATCGAGTGATCATTCGACATAATCTTCATATTTGTGTTTGTTCTTATTTTCCGCATCTTGTTCATCAAATCACAATTAGGGTTTTTAATCCCAACAAGTGGTATCAGAGCGGGTCTTTGAAGATCTATTGATTTTTGAAGTATCGGTTCTTGATTTGGTGATTTTCTACACAAGTTATTGAAGATTTTAGTGTTTTGGAGTTTTGGAATCAAGCTATCTGTTCAAGCAACTATTCATGGAGACTCATGTATTCTGTTACTGTGCGTCTGGTAATATTTTTTTTCTGATTGGATCTGAATTCAATATATTGTCGTTGGATTAGTTTTATTAGTATTGGGCCATTATCTCGATCATATACTGTTCATGGTCCATCCCTTTTGCCTTAATATAATATCAAGAATTCTCGTTTGCGTCACTTCTTCTGGGTTCGATCTTCCCTGTTTGTCAAAACGAACATCAATGATTTGTCTAAGGTGATTGCTTGACAACGATTGTAAATCAATTGATTACCATTTCCTTGTACTGTTTATTGTTGGTTGTTTGGGCCATCGATCGTGTTTGTTGTTACCATGTACTGCAATCAACAAAGCTTATCTATGTTTGTCAAATCTATTGCTCATCCGCTCCTAAGTCGATTTCTGTGAACAACGTCATTATCGGGATCAATTTTGATTTTATCAATTGATTCTGTGTTTCCAAAAAGTCAATCTGTTCGTTCTTTTGCTCCAACGTCAATTTTGCTTATAGATTATATCTATTCTATGATGTTAAAGACGAATTGGTGTCTCAATGATTTAAAGTTTTGTTTGAGGTACCAATATATGTTGCGAATCAAGAATACAGATTATGCAGTGTGATGAACAAATGAGGATCGGATGAATAGAACTGGGTTTGTTTGTGGTCAAAAACAGAAAAGTCAAAATTGGATTTATGAATTTTTTTTCGATTGTTTCTCCTGCGAATGTAGTCGGAAACGAGGTCTTGGAATCGTAACTCACATCAACGATCGGAATTGAGAATGTGTTTGGAAGTGTGATGTTCAAGGCGAATGGAATCATGATTAGGATTCTGGGTTCGCGCTCATATCCTCTCGATAGTCAAAATTGAGACCGATTTCCGACTTAACTGCTTGCTATTGGTATATTTGGAGCTTGTAATACTTGCATTCAGTGGTCACAATGATTCGCAGGCACTTCAAATGGTTAATTTGGGTTGGAAGGTTTCACTGCTAACATTATTGGATTCGCAATTAGATGTCAAAGTTGAAAGTCAAAATTGATGTATTGTGAATGCCAACCTGCGAACGATCAGAACTTTCACCCACGAACGTTCGTTGTCTGCGACTCGCAGCGAACTTGTGTTCAGATTCGTCTCAACAACCTATGAATGAAATCGGGACTCAATCGGAAAGAACTTAAGTCAAACGAAAGTCAAAATTAAGCTATTGGAACTTGAGTTCGCTTTTGTATCAATGGCTTTGGAATGTACCTGGAACGAACTTGAGTTCGGTTGGTAGCTCTTGGAACGAAAGAATGGAGATTTGCTTTGGGGTAATGCTAATGAATTAGGACCGAACCTGGAACAACGAACTTGGGTTCGCTTGTTAATGGTTGGAGCGAACGGAGGATGAACCGAAAGCGAACCTATGCTCGGACCGAACATGGTTTCGGTTCAATGAACCTGGACCGAACTTGGTTTCGGTTGCTTGTACTTGGAACGAAAGTATGATTCGCGGGTATTTATTTTGGGGTCTCGCATTTGTTCCAGTCGTTGCATCCCTTTTATCAGGCGTCTAAATGGGGAAGAAGATGCTTTAATGTTTCATATTTGGTCCCTATAACTCCAGCGAATTGGCACTTTTGGTCCCTGTTGTTTTCACAGTTTGATATTTTTGGACCAATCCCAGAAATTGTTACAAATAAAGGGGTATATTGATGCAGAATTACCATTCCAGCCCCTGTTTTTCAGCAAGTGACAATTTCAGCCCATTTTTCGAAAAGTTTGCAATTTTAAGGGCTGGTGAACAGTTTTGAATTCTTTAACGCACATATTTTTTTGTGAACAGAAAAATAAGGATTCCATCAAGTCTTGGCGGTTCGAAAATTCGTTTTTCGTGATAACGTCAAATTTTTACGACTTTTTCGGATTTTATACTTCATTGTATATATCATTTTGTCGCGGGGGAGCACAGTAATTTTTTATCCATTCAAGATCATTCTCATGACCATTTGAAGGCTTTATAATCACATTTTTGATTATAAATCGGGGGAGAATTTGGTATGGCCATTCGAAATTGGATTTGTGACTTTTCAAAGTTGAAGATTTTTTATAAAGCTTGTGGTAGAATTATGAAGGTAGCTTTTACAGCGGAAGTTCTTCATCGAGCTCTGCTAAAGCTTTTACAGAGAAGTATCCTTTACAGCGGAAGTTCTTTATCGAGCTCTGCTAAGGACTTGTTATATCTCCGACTTCTAGTATTTTCTCGATTAAGTGGCATTACAAATCTTAAAGTTTGGGTTGTTACATGATATTTTTTTGATGGCTTATATCATTAGCTTATTTGAAGATCATTGTGACTTGGAGGGGGAGCTCTTCAAAGACAAGAAGTGATTTGGTTTCTTTGTTCTGAAATGAGTTTTTATGGCGGGTTTGGTTTTCATGAAGATTTTTTTGGGATTACATTCGAAAATGAAGTTTAAAGACATTACTTCAGTGCTTGGTTTATATATCCTAGAGCCCGTGTTTGAAGACTATTGAAGAATCAAGATTCGTGGATTGCTTCATATATTCCTCGTTGCAGATCTTTTTATTTGCTAGATGCTTGTTTTGGAAGTTAAAGCATTGTCATCCATTCCATACTTTGAGGGGGACATTGTAGGGTTTCAAAGCACTCCATGGATGATGGCAATGGGCCCCTTGATGAAGGGTAGGTTAAAAGCCCAAGACTTGTCTTTTCCCTATAAATAGTCATGTATTATTCATTATTAGGGTTAAGAGTGAGGCAAAATGTAGCCGCCACGTGAGGTTTCTTATGTAGTGTTAGATTTTTTAGTCTATGCTGAAAGTGTAATTTATTCCTCATGTTTTGAATAAATCGAGTGATCATTCGACATAATCTTCATATTTGTGTTTGTTCTTATTTTCCGCATCTTGTTCATCAAATCACAATAGGGTTTTAATCCCAACAAGTTCGAGTCCCCGACTGGGTGGAGGCGTTAAAGAAGTGCTTAAAAGCAGGAACGGTTGGCAAATGGCCTAGAGCACGACAAAGGAGTTCGAAGCCTATTATCTTGTTGATGGCAATAGGGGTCAACTCTCTAACTGAAAACCCGTACTCCCGGATGATCGAGTTGAAGAAATCGGTGGTAGGCAAGCGCAAACCTGCCTCAAACAGAGCGATCGGGATCCCGATTTTACCCTCAGGAGGATTGTACAAAGAAGCATCGGACGAAGGGATCTGTACCCCATGTTCGGAAACAAATCCGAACCGAAATTGGAAAGATTCCCACTCTTCGACGGTGGGATCCCTTCCCAAAATGTGAGAAGTAGCCATGGAAGGATTTGGAGGAAAAAACGAAAATGTTTCATTCAAAAAAGAAACGTAAAGAAAGTAAGGTAGCAGGTGGGAAAGATGTGCCAGGGAAGACAGAGATTTAAATACAAAGAAGGGGGCAGCGAAACGCCTTCATGACGAAACCGCCGATCAGCGATAACTTCGCCCTACCATCGGCATAGGCCATCAATAGCAGCCCGCCACGTGTTTGTGAAGTAGACCAGAACAACTCTGATACGTCACGGACGCAGAAGCCTACTAGTCTAAGGGACTTGTTAACGTTACCTAACGGACACGTTAAATGTAACAAAAAATGTAACAGAAACGTTACTCCTTTGGCCAAGACCCGGTCTTGGCCTAAGCGAGCCAAGGCCAGGGCAGTAGCTCACTTTTTGTCACATGGTAAGAACATTCCATGTGATCTTCTCATTCACTAACAGCCAATGAGAATGCAATAAATAGCCCAGGTGACGCCTAGAACTGACGTCACCTGAGAGTTAGTTAGCATGAATAGCTCTCCCAGTAAGAGGAGGCCACGTTGCATGCTCACGAGGCAGGATCCCCACGATCCGTTAGTAACAGGTACAAAGGATCTCTTCCGCCTAAAGGAGGGGATCCATATTCTCTCATGTAAAAAGATTTCTCTCAGATTTTCTCTATCCCTCAGAAAAAACTAACTTAATCGTCGGAGTGACGTCCCGAGAGATCACCCGGCCGTCCTCTAATGGTTCTCTTGTGATTGTGTTCTTAGGAAAGCACCCCAAACAGATCCTTTGTTCAGCATCCAAACCATCTTTAAACATGTCACAACAGTATGCTATTAAGCAAATAAACTAGTTTAGTTAGTTGCCTATTGTGTTAGACTGTTTGTGATTATCTACTTATATGCTATATTGGTTAAAATAGACATGTTGGGTTGAAACATACCCTTTCGGCTAAAATAGACCTTTTGGTTGAAATAGACATGTTGGATTCAAACATACACTTTCAGATGAAATAGGCTTGTCGGTTGAAATAGACATGTTGGGTTGAAACATACCCTTTCGACTGAAATAGGCTTGTCGGTTGAAATAGATATGTTGGGTTGAAACATACCCGTTACTGTTATGTATGCATAGTGTATGTATTGTGGGGAACTCACATCGTGCTTACCCAGTTGATTACAAATGATTTCAGGTACTGCTTGGGGACGTGAAAAGGGAATGCTTGACTATACACATACATCAACATCATGTTTAAGTTTTCTATATAATTTAATTATACTTTGATTTGAATAGTTGATTTTCGATTGTCAAACAATGGTTTTCATTATGAATAAATGCATGTTTGAATGAAATACTATCTTTAAAAAATGAAAAAATTGTTATGAAAAATGGGACGTTAAATAAATATTTCTTTTTTTTAATATCACAAAATAATAAATAAGGAATAATAAAATTTCATCAAATGATGTTAAATGTAAAGAAATGAAAACATTAGGCTTACTATATGTATTATGCAAATATTTAGTTTTAGACTTATTGGTAATGAACTAACCTTTAGTAAGAAGTTTGTACCAATGAATTACTATTTTTTATTATAACATTTCAATTCAGAAAAAAAAAAAAAAAAAAAAAAAAAAAAAAAAAAAAAAAAAACTTTAACCAACTACAACTACTTAAAATACATAAGTAAATAAGTAAAAAGTTGATAAGTTGTATTGATTTATTATTTTAATATTAGAGCTCTTAAGCATTCTATTAAGATCATTAAACAATTATAAAAAATTAAAAAGTTGGTTAAGCATTGAAAGATTATTTTAATTTAAGAGTTCATCAATTTTTTGACGAAAAGTTATTTAGCGTCAAACCATTACTACTCAAAATACTTCACTAGCTTACGTCACTCAATTGATACATATGATATTTGTTATTAATATTCGTTAACATTATGCTATAATATATAAGAAAAATGATGATTTGATACGTAAAATAATGAGAACGGTTATGAAATAATATATATATCCACATTAAGGTTTAAGAAGTTGATTTGATTAATATTTTTAATTTTACACTTTGAGTTTATAATTAAAACAGTATTTTGAGTTTATAACTAAAACAATTAGAAATGATATGTTTAGTAAAAAAAAAGACAATATAACCATAGTTCCATTAATACATATATATGCTTATATATAACGAATAACAAATAAATCAAACGTATAATGACTTTTATATACAATAAATAACAAAAATTATAAAAAAATAATGCATATTTTAATAACGTAAAAACACTAAAATATCTATTATGATATTTGTATTAAAAAAAAACATATTGAACACTCATAATTCATACATATATATATATATATATATATCTATATATATATATATATATATCTATATATATATATATATATATTTGATCAATTGAGAAAAATCATCAAATTCTAACTTTTTTTTTCATAACAATTGAGGTTATAGTTCTTTTTTTTTATTACCTCTCATCTTGATGCGTGTATGGGTTTGATTTAGTGAGTAGGGTAGTTTTTAGGTAAATTAAGCTAGAATAACAACCACAAATGATACGTGTATGAGATAAACTAGTAACAACTCAAGACCTATTAAGTTGTATACCAGTGAAAACAATCCAAGACCTATTGGATTGAATTCGTATCAAGTCAAGAACACGTCTCAACTATGACAAATAATGAACTATAACAATAATTCAAGTTGAACAAATGTTCTTTTGATTAAAATTTTGTCTATCTCTTTTTTCCATGCATAAACTTGGCTTATAAAAAGCCTTTATTACACAATTGGTGGTTACAAGCCAACCAACCAACTACTCATTAAAACTAGTAAATGAAAATTAAGGAAACTCATGAAACAACACAAAACACATACACACTTATGAATGAAAAAACGTCCATGCTCCATTATGGAGCCATAAGAAGCATTAAAGTGTAACCCTAATCCACCAAAGAGTATCAAAAACGGATAGGAGGCTTTATGATGCAAAAAGTAATGGTTTTGAGCACTTAAAAAGCCTTTAAAATGTTGCCCTAGACTTCATGCAACCCTAACTCAATTTGTGGGTTATCATGCACAACCCAACCATTGAGCCCAAA